CCCCCACACACACACACATACCGCCCCCACTCACACACACAAACACTTCAAACACTTCTAAAGACCCGTGTCCGGTTTATACATATCATATGTTAATTTTGAATTAACCTATTAGACTGTGTATAAATTTATTCTATGAGCAGATCAGGTGCGAGGGTTTGCAAGACTATGATATATCATCGGCCTTAAACTCTTATTTAATTACTAAATTAAAACTTACTGGTTTAAAATCGCTGTCAGAAGACTTTCCAAAAGGTTGGTATAAGAATAAAAATACCTTGACAACCAAGTACATGTAGTTTCATTAAGCTTGTCAGGATAAATGCAATCGAACCTATCCAACAGTTAAGCGTTATTTGATAAAAGGACATCATTAATATACCCCGGCAAGTATTTTATTTTTCCTGGCCAGATCCTGTATTAAATAGAACTCGCATAGAAATAGACTGGTTAGCAATGGAGCGCGATTGATACTCATAGCAATGTCTAAAATATTTAATCTGCAGGGTTTTATTTTCGGAAGCGTTGCTTTAAATTAACTATTTATGTTTCGTAAATAACAAAAAAAAAAAAATCTTTACAAAATAATAAATCATTGATCATTAAAACCTTTAACAAATACTGCTATGAAATGTGAAATGGTAGATTATTTAATATTTATGTTTTATAGTTACGGAAGCGTATAGGGGTCATGCAAAATTTTGTAGAAGTTCTCGAGATCCTGCGATCCTGTGATACTTTCTCGAAATCCCGTGATCACCTGGTAATTTTCTCGAGATCTGAATTTAATGTTCTCGAAATCCCCTGATAATTTTCCTGAGATACTGACATCCTGTGTAAATTTTCTCGAGAATTCGAGTTAATTTTCTCGAGATATTGACATCCTATGTAAATTTTCTTGAGATCCCGAGTTAATATGAAACCTTATATGATAGTGTCTCCACGTTGTGAAGCAACCATTGTCCCAATACTTCGCACCAAATTTGATAAAAAAAAAATACTCTAACATTTGTTACAAAGGAAAACTGCTAACTAATGAAAGAATATACGGACAATCGATAGGATTTACATTAAATTTGAAATATGATTAAAATCGATTGGGTCCATTGTCTTATGGCCCCAATACTTCACACCAAATATGAAATTCAAAACCCTACCACGTTAGCTTTAATGTGTAAAGCTTTGAATTACAGACTTGCTTGTTAAATTATTTCAATTGAAAGTGTGGGCGACGTTTAATTGAAAATGTCATTTTTGTATGGTTTTCGGACCATATTTTGTTTTAGAATAAAGCTAGACAGAGAGTTTATTGTCTTGTGGCACAAATGCTTCGGAGCAGATTTTAAATAAAGAATCTTGAAAAACCCTGGGCTCTCACGCGTTCAGAAGGTTTACCGGAAAATAGGAATAACGCCATAACAAAATTTCATTGTTCCGCCGAAAATAAATAGGGTTCCTCTGCTTGTGACACGAATGATTCCAAAGAAATTTGAACGATAGTCACGCAAACTGTGGAGATACGCCCATATGCATCAACAGCAGATTATTCGAAAGGAAAACTTGGTTGTTTAATAAATTGTATAAGCATCTAGCATTTATCAAGAAATCTAATCTCTATCGTGTTCGCCTGCTTGTTATCTCTCTGGGACAGAAATCTTATATTGCTGAAAATAACAGGGGTCATCCTTGTCGCGGAACACTGAATATCGAAAATCCGATAAAACACAAAATTTGAAACAAAACCGTTCAAAACTGTAGGCTCTATCGTGCTATTAAGGTTTTCGGGAAAGTGTGTGTGTGTGGGGGGGGTAAACTCCGAAACAACAGGTTCTAGGGCGCTGAGAATACGTTAAAACTACGCGCACACATAAAAATACCCGAGATCTCGAGAAAATGTACACAGGATGGCAAGATCCCGAGAACATTAACGCGAATTCTCGAGATCGTTAACGCAGGATGGGAGATTCTCGAGAAATTTATTAGGGGATTTCGGGAACATTAAATTGAGATCTCGAGAAAGTATCACAGGATCGCAGGATCTCCAGGCCTTCTACAAAATTTTGCATGACCCCTATACGCTTCCGTATATAGTAACAAAATATAAAAAAAAACACGACCCTTTTAAAAAATACATAATTACACATAATTAAAAACATCAAGTGAAATTTAAGAATTATAATACCAACATGGGGAATTCTTTTTTTAAAAACCAGTAAAGGTGTTAAAATATGAATTGTTTGAATGATTTCACATGGGCTGTCAACCGTACCGTACCGCGCCTTCATATAAAAGCCATTGTGTTTATTTCGTTGGTTATAGTTGCCTTTACTCACACCGGGTATCCAGAGATCATACGCATTTATTAAAGTAAGGACTATATCAACATGGCGCATATTTTCACAACTAAAGGATCAAAGGATTCCTTCCTTTCTAATCAAGTCAAGGTAAAACGTTAGAAGTCATTTTATGTCATTTCGAAAAACTTTGAATTCTTTTGTTAATGTTACGTTATTTTAAAAGAAAAGACAAATGCTTTGGGGTTTTTGCTATTTACTTACAGGACTAACACGACAATACCTATTCACATGTATCAAATATATTATTTCATTTAGTTTAAGGTTGGTCTACTGATGGAAAATAAGATGTTTTTTAAATACAGAATATTTCAAATCTTGGCAAAAGATTAACGAGTACATTATTATAAGCATTAGGATAATTTATCAATTCAGCTTTACGTATTAGTCTGTGATCCTTTGTAGTAGGGATGAATGTTTTGGGATTAAGAGATAATCACAACATAATCTGTATTATCCTGCTTAATGTCTTATACATACATCATGTTTGTTCCTCTTTTTAGTTTTAAAGGGGTGGAGGAGAGTCGAATGGTTAACGCGCGCGCGTTGGGTCTTAAGCTCTGTCGTTAAGTCAAGTGGCGTGGTTTCGATTACCGCTTGTACGTGACAAGGTGTGGGATCGCCTGTCCAACCTCGTGGATTTTCTCCATGTCTTCCGGTTTCATCTCACCGCTACGCACAAGTGAATTTTTGAAATAAAATTAAACCATATGTTTGTCCCGAGATGAAATAATTTGTTTCCAGTGGACGTTAAACCCAATCATAATAAACCAATCGATGAGCACTAATTGATAAAGAAACAACCACGACACGATTCATGTTGGTCGTATTTAAATTGGTCCTTGGTCCTTTTCGAGAGCGCCGCCTACAAGAAAATATTAACAATAACAGAGAGAGAGAGAGAGAGAGAGAGAGAGAGAGAGATGGGGTTTAACGTCCACTCTAGGTCATTTCGGGACTAACGTATGGTTGAATTTATTTCTATAATTCGTTTGCGCGTAGGGGTCTTTAGCAGTGGGAAGAAACCGGAGGGCCCGGAGAAAATAATAAAGCAAATAATATATGGTTCTGATCATTTTTGGCCCATAGTACAACTGGGTATTTAAGAAACTGCGGCTGATAACAAGGGGCCAATAAAATAATAGGATCAATAATTTTGTATAAAACAATGTAAATATTGTATCAATAAATGATAGATCAAATTTTAAAAAAGTATGGTTAATACCTAAAGAAGCAACGTTATAACGTCAGAGTTATTAATAACAATTTGCTAAAGCGAACTTCGTATTGTTTCATCCACAAATTCTACGTAGATGTTATCAATTCTAGTGATTCTGAACAAAGTAGGTTTTATTTTCGGTGAAAAATACTTTCAGTTTAGCAGGAGGTAATGGTATAAAAAAAAACAACATCGTATGACGGCGTGAAGACTGTGACTCAGTCAGTGAGACCATGGTTTCCTCTTGTCAGTGTTTCTGTAGGAGGAGATCTTAGCATTAGGATTGAACGGAAAACCAATTTACCGTGTACACTTTCAATACGCGTAAACGATTTCTTGGCCGTAGCAATTCTACAAAGAGTTGGCGGGAACACCAATATCCACACAAAACATCCCCCATGCCCGTCTTTGTTGGTCCAGTTTCTTTTTACTGAAATGTGAGATGTTGAATCTAATTTCATTACATTTCACAAAAGGGTACAAATAATGGTGTGTGTGTGTGTGTGTGTGTGTGTGTGGGGGGGGGGTAATGAACTGCATATCATCGAGCGATCCCCATGGCCAAAAATGCCTTTGATGTTAGACTGTTGAGAATTTCGATTAAAACTATTCTGAAATAATACATGTTAAGAGCTAGGAAAGTTTGTGTATAAACGAAATTTAAACACTACCAAATAAAAGGCGAGTTTGGGGAGTAGAGCTGCCCTGGTGGGTTTATCAAACTTTGAAAGTCAAACTTTGATGGCTAACCATATGAATATATTGTTATAATACCGAACTGCATAATGATAAATACCAATAGGGCATATAATTATATTGAATCTTAAATTGCACCGTGTAGGAGTTGACAAACACAGTAAAAGGGGAGAAAAGTGAATATGTTTAGCAAAAACCTAATCCAATATTGGAGAAATTGGTGATTTTCTACGCTAGGTTTCTAGATTAATACATCGTATAGAATAGACCGTAACCGGCCCAAGCTGGTCCATATTCATTAGTTTTCACATAGGAAACATTATTATCACCCCTTACATCAGTGTCCCACTTTTAAAACCTTTTTGGATGTTTTCAATTTGCTATCTATTTCAGTCATAACATTTGAAATTACTCTATGATACCTCAAAGCAAAACTTAATGGTTGATCTTCACATGGTGTTACAGAGACGGTGAGATAGGGCGATGTCACTGATGTCAGATAGGATCACATAAAAACAAAATATAGGGCATCCTAGTGTTTATACACTGTAAAAAAAAAATAAAAAATAAAAATTCTGGCAACATATTTACCAGATTTTTTTTCTATTTTTATTCTATTTCTTTGGTTAAATATATGAAACAGAATCGCCTTCTGTAAAAAAAATAATAATTTATTTTCTATAAATGTAATGTTTCAGTCATGAATTTATAAAAAATATTTAAAACGAACAGGAATCAAAAGATCTGACATGCTTTTGAATTTTGGAAACCTAGGTTTAGTACTTTCTCCGGTATCTTCTTCTTCTTCTTGCAATTTTGTATCTGCAATACAAACCTGAAACAAAATTATGATGAAGCACATCAGAGATTCCAAACATAAAAAGCAGCAAACGGAACCGATGTACAGGCTGTATCTTTAAATTATAACACTCTCACATATACACATTATTAGGAAGATTTGCCATCACATATTATTGTTGAGTTCCCTCTGTTCTGTTTTCTGTATCGTCAACGTACATTCAAATGCGCATGCTTTAACTGAACCCAACAGAAAAACATTGTGAATTAACATAACATTGCCGTTAATGTTCAAGTTATTCTGGAATATTACAGGTCTTTTGATCAAAAAACAATTTATATTGTTAATAAACAGATCCTATCAGTTAATATACTGAAAAGTATATAAATTTACCGACTTTTCTGTCCAAATACAGAAATACAACTAAAATAACCGATTTTTTGGTAAATATACACATTAATTATCTCAAATAACAGATATTTCTGTGATAATACGGATAATGTCATTTAAATAACAAAAACTATGGATTTAAAAAACATATTTTTTACATTGTACTATCAATGATAACTGAATCCGTTTAGAATTTGGTCTAATTCTACTACGAGGGGATATTTAAAATACAAAGTGAGAAATCTTATCGTGAGATTACACAGCTAAGCAACCCTTTGTAATTTAGAGTATGTTTCAGTCGACTGTCGTGATGGCCCCTCATCGTGAAGATGATTATGAATGTGGCCTTTGATTACCGTATTATGAGGAACTAACTCCGGTCAAAATCTGAATCTATTTATTATTAATCTCTAAACTGTAATCTGTTTTTGCGTGAGATGGTATTATTTTTAGTCTCTGAAATTCGGATTATTTAAGTAATAGACATATTTCATTATATTATTACACGGTTTCATTTAATAAGAACCCTAACTTTGGCTAACGTCTCTTAATCGGTAAACCGTCATATTCAAATGAAATGGAATATATGTTGTTTTGTCTGTCTTCATCACAATACTGTAATGGCTTGGAGACAAATTATGACAACTTTATCTGAACAGTGGAATGTCCACCTACTCTTCCTGTATTTCCAATTGTCAAGGGTTCTTTTAAGTGCACGTACATGTGGACGTCATTTTTCGTCCCATTCGAGAGACAGACACACTTTCCTAGTCAGCTTCGTAAACGCGACCTATCTGACAAGTAAAATCATATACCAGGTATATGTCCCTCCTTGTGACACGCCATGGTTTTAAATCTGTTTGTAAAACAACTAAGATTATCTATAGAGATTCTCTGTTCTCTTTTTGACTATGGTGTGACACTGCTACAATCACTATAAGAATATACAGATATTCGCTTTCGGTTTTGTATTGTCTCCCATGTATTATGTTTTTCTTGTTGATTACGGTGTGGTTCTGCCACAATTACTATATCGATATTTGGTTATGTTGTGGTTTTGCTATAATTACTATAAGAATGTACTAATATTTACTTTCGGTACTCCTGATTTATAAACATATCGCGAACGGGGCAATGACCGTGTTAACCGTTTCAGTTGAAAGATTCCGCACATGTCATTATAGGTAGTCGGTTATTTGACCTTTCATATAAAATATTGCATATTTCTGTTAAGGTAATCTGGTCTATGTGTATGCCCCAGTGATCATAGTTTTAAATAGCAACCAGATGTGAAATGTAAATTATAATAGATAAAAACTGTGTAAATGTATAGCTGTTTTATCTTAAAGAGGTGTTATTTATACTGTCACCGAATCAATACATATATACAAGATTCACCTAGTTAACACTAATTATCGAAAATTCGTCGACTGACCTGACCTGGTTACGGTAAGGTGCATTTCGTGTAAGGCGTATGTAGTCGGCTGTCTGACGCTTGTATACATTATTGCATAAAGGCTGAGATATTGAATTTGTTTAGGTAACCTGTTTAATTTACATCCACCAGTGGTCATATTTTTATTGTGAAACTTGTTTAATTTACATGCCCCAGTGGTCATACAAGTATTTTGTTATGTAGCCTATTTAACTTACCCAGTCGTGTAATGCAAATTCTTATAGACATAACTCTTGTAGTACTTTGGTCCTTAGAATCATGTTGTGTCTTTGAATAATAATGTTGGTTGACGCTTTCTCGTGTACTAATGAAAGTAAAATGACATGTTTATATATATATATAAAACTGATATTTTGGTAAAATCCTTACCATTGTCAAATTATCCATCAAATTATATCTGTTTATGACATGTGTCTGGTAGACCAAATAAGGCAATTTCCCCCTTGGTCTTGGGAGAATGGGGTGTTTATTCCATATTTGGGAAGGAAATTAACGCCAAGGTCAGTCTATAACGTGCAGAAATAAGGGGGTGATAAAAGAGGGTGTTGAGCGAAATTGATCAAAGCTCACCCAGATATTCCGAGCAGCTATCATCTATGCTTCATTGAGAACGAGGGACCTTCAAAGCCAACCAGTTTAACAATAAAGTTGTAGGAACAACTAACCTGTAGTTTTATTTACCATCACGAGTTGTATAGCCAAATATATCATTATTGTTTCAACACCCGACAAAGACCATAAAGGCTCGATCACGTTAAGTTACACTCAAATGCTTGGCATAATTTCAACAAATAAATGCATGCGTCAAATATATAATCGAGTTCCTCGCTTGATATATATAGCTAGCAAGAGTTCAATTTAACTTTAATAGTAGATACACCCATATCCGTCATATCATGTATTATAGTGTGTGAGAGCTATCGATTCTTACCAGACCTTCCACAGTTATTGGTTTCACCAAAGTATCACGCTCTTACTTCACCCTCCTCGATTACTTTCGGGTAAATAATAAAAAAAAGGTCTAGCATATCGGGCTAAATAATACAGACCACTTTAAGGTCTGGTCGATGCAGTGGTTCTACAGTTTTGAGACTAACATATTTGTTTTTATTTAAAAAGAAAGGACCCATGTGTGCAATGCTATCAAGGATGCTTTTGCGTGTACGGTAATATGTGTACGTGGTGTCCACAGAGTTATTATTGGACATCTTCCAGGTTTAGGCAAAAGACCACTGGTGGGGTGGGGTCGGGCGCAGCAGTCTTAAATTCTTAATCCGGTCCTTGTTGGATTTGTGCATGGACCCATGTTGTAGATCTATTAACTTGGCCAAATTTGTTGAGTTTCTGCTATTATAAACACTTTATATCAGACAGGATGGACTGAATGTAGTCTTTATATCACCACTGGGGTAAAGTCTTTATCCTTCTCTCTTCAGTGATGACAAAGACTCTTGCTTTCGCATAAAGATTAGCATAAGAAAGAATCTTTAACAAAAGTGTTTAGCTCCGTCACACGAACACTGTACTTTTTAAAATATTTTCATTATTGAATTATAATTGATCTAGGTCAGGTCACTGTTCGCGCTCCATGGTAACGGCTAGTCGAAGTCATAAAATAAAAATCCAAACTCTCCTGTTAGTATTAAGCCCCTTTAATCACCAGCAATAGTTGACCCGACGCCGATACAGGTGATGAATTTATAATTCGTTTATTATTGTAGACACCACATGTTCTCATCTAGTTAAATATAGTTTATAGATGCACTTTAACCTAATCTGCTGTTAAACAAGTGTATAGAGTGTCGAATCTCCGATAGAAAAATATTTTTCGAATAATAAAGTAGTTGAACATCAACAGGAAATGTGACAAATTAAAAAAATATTTATAATGCTTATATTTGGATGAATGTTATTTTAAAGACGTGTTTTTAAAAAAAAAAAAAAAAAAAAAAACTTTGCCAACAATACCCCCACCCAACCCATACGTAAATATTATTCGAATGTCGAATAATAATAATGATGTAGTATTCGAATAATAAAGGAAATAAAAATCAACACGATGTGGTAGAATGACCTGGCAAGGAACGGTGTCTTGTCGTCCGGATGGTACGAAAATTCCAACTACATTTTGGTCATTTATCTCCACTTCCGGTCCTCGGTTTTTCAATCCATCCGTATGACTAGACACACTTTGTCAGACAGGCTTGAAAAACCCAGCCCCTTTGCGCACCGGTTAGTCTATCCGTTCATAATTATCTTTACCACTTCCAAGGTTGAAAGAGGAATGCAACATAAATTCAGAGCTACTGTTTATGTCACTGAAACCGTGTAAACGCTCTGAATGTGAGAGTTTTTAAAACAACGTCACTAAAATCAATATAATGTAATAAAGTATGTTTATCTATTTACAAGAACTGCGTGGGTTGCCATTATGTTATCAAATGGTTAATTATAAATTAAGACCTCTCAGTTTTGTGTCTGGTATATATCTCGTCCTATCCCTGGGTGAGATTGTCATGCCTGTCATGACCAGGATTATTAAATACTATCTATAGCATCGATCCAACGGAAGTCGACAAATACAAATGTCAAATTATTTGTACGTTGACTTTATGGGGCGAAGACAACGCTTAATGGAATAGTTTTAATCAATTCTTTGCAGTCACCATTTACAAATTAAAACTTGTCGTACGAGGCGTTGGAAGTTTATTTTTTGTGTTGGTGCGTGGGGCTTAACTAACATCCGGTATATTGCAGACAATAAATTCTCCTTATAGACAATTCTCTCTTAACGAGAGAACAGCCATCTCAAACTTTTTCACGACTTAATTGCTTCCAAACTGAAAGACCCACTTGGCGACTTTATATGTGAATGGTAACAGGTCACAATTTCTTTCTCTTCTCTCTGAATTCAATGACTGTTACATCCATTAAATCTAAACCCATTCCATCCATTCTATACCATCCATTTGATACACGTAAGAAATACTGTAGGATACGTTAATAATTGTTTATAAATAGATAATGGAACTGTCTTTATGGCCAACAAAATGAGGGAAAATAATGGCATTTTAAGTGTTATATTCTAGACTATATATGAAGGATTTGATTATTTCGAAAACATAAAAGCGCTTTTATTTTATTAGAATGCAATATTCGCGGATTTATGTTTTTGTAAAACAAACCCCAAACTAGTCATAATTTGCTTCATAATAAAACATTTAAATGAACAAAAATACTAAAAATTATGAGAAAGGCTGAAACAGCGCTTAAGCCCATAGTTTGATTAATGTTTAAAAACTGTCGCTTATTCAGCATACCTACTTTATCCGGGTCAAATGTTCAAAAATCCTCATAAAATATGAATATATAATTGTGTGAAAACCATTAGACATCTCTCTCGTATTATCCTAAATACAGAATACACAGTTTATGACAGACTGGATAAATGATTGCGATCACAATTTCCACATGATAATTGTAATTCCCAGATATAGCATGCATTTATTTATCCATTGCTTTAAAAAAAAACAAAAGAGGCCATGTCGATATTACAGATGATTCATTCGAAAACCTCATTTTTATTGCAAGTTTTATTTTAAACGTATTGTCATTTTCCGGCAGATTAGAATAAGCTAAACCTCAGACCCAATATTTTCCATAATGTACAAAATTAAAAACACGAATTAGAATTCACTATTGGTACATATCAATCAATATGTTTGTTGTTATCTTGCCGTGAAAATACGGGATCCAGAAATTCAATATTTAAGATCCAATTAACCTCTTATATCTAGTACACGAGTCATGTATTCTATTGTTTCGGGCGCCATTTGTAATTAACACGAAAAACATATCCTACAAGACAATATGGAAGTAATTAGTAATGGCCGATTCACAACGATAAAATAATAACACAAAAAACGTGAAGAATAGACTAAGTAGGTGTAAATGAAGTAAAATATTGTGTATAAAAACAAAACGACTGTCGTTCAAGTTGAACTGTTCACGTATTTCACCTAACATAATTGATTAGAAATTACAATGAAAAAAAAAAATGAACATTATAATACATTCAAGCTACATTAAATGTGCTTTTAGACCCATTTTCGTCCATTTTAAAATTCCAAAGAATAGAGTCCTATGCCATTTAAACTATTAGCAAATTTAGAATTTACAGGAATGGTATCTGTAATTGTTATCGGGAACATGTCATATCGCAGCACTTTTTGCAGAACTTTTTGGAGAAGATTTTGCAATTATTTATTTATCATTTTTCGCTCTTTATAGAAAAGTTGAGTTGATGTGAATATCCCCTTTACACGAGCCTCTGAGAGTCTTCTGGTATCCTGTATATGCAAATTGAAGAATATAGTTAGTATAGTGGATAGTAATGTTAATATGAACGTGTCTTGGAGATCGGTAAAATAATCAATGATCTTCTGTTCAGTAATTTGTATGGTATTGACTTATTACGGTCGAGTGTGACCTGGCATAAATAGCTCATATGTTTTCACCATCATGTCAAAATTTACAGTTTTTCGAGTAGTAGTAAAATTCCCAGTCAATATTTACATGTATTTGCCATGAAATGAAACTGGGTTTAACGTCCCACTTTTCCGCCCCATTCGTGCTAATGAAGACAGGCAGTGCGCAATGGGGAATTATTTTGACCGGACTGTGGCGTAAAGACCTACTCGTATGCCGAATTCCAACTGTAAAGGTTCTTTAACGTACACCTCGTTTAGTTTCTTCCACCAGAAAGACTAGACGCTGTTCCATGGCCAGTCCCTCGTCCTGCCCCACCGATGAATTTCCTTGAGCAACACTGGGATCGAACCCGGAACCTCCATGTTAACGTGCCAAGACCTTACCCACAAAACAACCCAGCAGAGCCCAGAATAGACTCTACGACTATACGCAATAAATAAATGCCTTACCAAAATACACAAAATCGATCAAACAAAAGTATTTTATGGTCGTATACCTTCTTTTGATTTCACATTGCCATCTTTTATTTCTTGTACTCGTCTGTCGATATATAAACGATAACGCTGTCCTCGAACATCAAGGTCAAGGTGGTAACCGACCTACCCTTTTCTCCAATTGATTTAATCAGTGGAATGTTTAAAATAAACTATATAAATCTGCATATATATATTTACATATTAGTGTTTGTATGTTCAGTTATATCGTTATTATCTTTATTATATTTTTATTTTCTGGATTTGTCCGTGTAATTTAAATCCATATTTTTTTTTGACCAAACCATAAATAAATAGACCTTTTTTCCTTATAATCGGCAATATGTCTAATGTAGGACTAAATATTTTATAGATAAAAACTATATAATAGCTCCACTAAACTCTACAGCGTGTTGGATTTCAACATTAATAATAGCATTATTACACTACTTATATATCATTTATGTATGGATAATTTTAGTACAGATTCGGGTTTCCATTGTTGGGCGCAGGGGAAATAAACCTATTATATGTTACAAAAATTGTTTATCTAACATTTCTCCAATTTCTTCATTCCGGTTTCCTCCCACTGCTAAAGACCCCTACGCGCAAGCGATTTATTGAAATAAAATTAAACCATATGTTAGTCCCGAAATGACCTAGTTTGTGTCGAGTGGACGTTAAACCCCATTTCTCTCTCTCTCTCTCTCCAATTTCTTCATCTGACACAACTTGAATAAATTATGAAGGGTTTGTGTATGTTCTGTAATGTTTTTCGATAATTTGACCACCCAAAATAATGGACGCTTGGAGAAATTATTGCATTTTGTCATCTAATTCTTATTATTGTCACCCGATGCTTTCAAGGCATTCGTTTTTATTCGGTTTTTTTTATTTAAAATCCATTTACTATAATGGGAGACAACTCTTGTTCTTTCTACTTGTATTTGGAGGCAGACCACCATTAATTTCGCGATTGACTTCAATGTTAATTCTGGGCTTTTTGCCCGGATCCAACTTTTCCCC